TGCAAACGCATAGAAAAATCTGCGTTTTCAAAAATACCCGGGTACCTGTGGACATGGCTTAAAGAGTTAAGAGATGAGCATGGTGTAAGAGCACGAGTTATCAAGTGAAAAAACAAAACAAACAGAGCTCACCTCTGAAGCAGCTGAATTGCACTCACACCTGTGTTTTTCTTCCAATCATACTTGGCAAAGCCGGTAGTTACAAATATTTAAGAAAAACATTTTAATAATTCAGAAGATGTTTTAATTCTAGGAGAATTTATTTTATTTTATTGTATGGATGAATTAAAAAAACAACAACAATTGCATTGTGTAAGATTTTATGCAGTGTTTGGCTCATTGGTGACTCATCTCTGATTAACATGACGGGAGTCTTTAAAGCAGTTTGCAGCCCATTATTTCAGACTGTGGTTTTCATGCTGCTACATTCAATAGCTGGGTGAACCATAACTGAAGCAATATAGGAGCAACACTACACATGTCTAAACATGAACCAGCGCTCACGATCCTTTTATCACATCAGTTGATTCTTTGTGTTGCTGTTTAGCACGTGTTTGATATTTCTTTCTGTCCCGCTCTTCCCCCGTTTTCTTCCTCTTTGCAGAAAGAGCTGTCGGGCCATAAGAACATCGTTGGTTACCTGGACTCTACGATCAGTCCTGTGTCAGACAGCGTGTGGGAGGTCCTGATCCTCATGGAGTACTGTAAAGGTACAACCTGTCCCTGTAAATATAAACATGTTCTGACAGGCCTCACAGTTCTGCTTTATGCATGTAGTCATTTCTATTTTTTAAAAAGCACTTCTGGTTTTTGTTTTGGTTTGAGTTCTGTTTTTGTTTAGGTCGGGGGAAAAAATAAACACAAAAGGACAAGCAATGAATAATCGGCTAACTAGGTGATAATAAGCTGGCTGGCTTACTGTTGGGTTAGTGTGGTAGGACTCCAGTATTGGTTGCCAAAGCAACCAACGTGCTGTAATTTTTTTTCTTTCCCCCCAGAAAGCCTTGTCTTTTCAAACTGTTGCAACATCTCCCTCTAGATCTGTTAATCTGTTCTGTACTGATATATCATTAAAACTGTAAAAAAACTGTAAATAACTCTAGAAAATTGAGACTTACTCGACCAGCTGATACAACACAATGGCCCACAGATAGGACGCCACTTTTGTCATATGGCACGGTTTGGCAGAGGAAGAACAACAAGCACAATGGCTCCATTAATCAGCACAAACTTCACCAGTTAAGCAAATTTAGGATAAAGTCCAAGAGGCAGAGGAATAAACGTGTAAGGAAAAAGTAAAAATGTGCAGCATTGTGTTTTGCATTCTGCATCGTCTTGCATTGGTACTATTTAATTTTGTAAGGCTAGACGATTAATTGAGTTTCGGCTTCTGAGTGATTATAAACAAAATAACTGAAATAAGACCGGTCTCTTCCTTTTATTTTTGCTTTGAGGCTCTCATTTCTGTTTTCTAACTTTTTAAATATTTGGTTATAAATGAAGTGCATGCCTTACAGCACTGTGCTTTTAGTCCTTATAAAGCTCTGAGTCGTCTTTTTGCCCCCATCTGTTCTCATGTTAAGGTGGGCTTGCGTGATCATTTTGTTACCATTGTGTAAAATTGGCTTCATAGACAAAAAAAACCTCACCCGGGAATCATGATGCCCATTACCGATGTCTACCAGGCAACTCTTTGTGCCCAGAAGCATTTGCCTCTTTCTTTTTCCTTTAATGGAAGCATCATAAGTTAAAGAATTGTGTTGAGTAATTGAGATTGAAGTGTGATTATCACCCCTGGCCTCTATATTGATCATGCACTGCCCTTTAAAGCAGTTTTGCCCTCATCAGAATAAGTTTACATGCAAACAGTACTGTAGTTACTGAGAATAGCTGATAATAGTTTCTATGGTCAAACATGCTGTATGTATTGTTTTGATCTGTTTTCACTCCTGAAGCTGTCTCTCCAACCCCTTTATTCTCTCTCTGCAGCGGGGCAGGTAGTGAAGCAAATGAACCAGCGGTTAAACGTGGGCTTCAGCGAGGCTGAGGTCCTCCACATCTTCTGTGACACGTGTGAGGCTGTGGCCCGCTTGCACCAATGCAAAACGCCCATCATCCACAGAGACCTTAAGGTGAGGCCGGTATTTTTGTATTTTTCTACCCCCTCCTCTGTTTCATGAAAGAAGCTTAAATGATGGACAGATGCGTTGGTGACAGTTACACTTGTGCAGCGTAAAACATAGAAAGGTAAATGTACATTAACGAATTTCAAAGGGCTCAATCACCCCACAGAAGAAGAAACAAAAAAACAAACGTGTTATTTTGTATTGATAAGCCGCGGCCTGACTGCAAAAATCACACTTACACAGATGTTCATCCACAGAAATGAAGAAAAGAAAGTCTTCGGATTCTTTATTTAAAGGAATTCTTAAGCTGATATTTAAAAGTAAAGGGAAATAAACTGGAAGTCAA